TGTAAGTGATCGGAGACAGTGTCATTTGACGTCAAAATGTGCAAACGCCTATCGACCAGAGAGAAGTAGAATGTGTTGGAAATACTGAAACAGCCAGGTGCAACTCAGAGCTCCGTAGTCAAATCATTTGGAATTTCACGAAACATTGTCTAAAATGTTGTATCCCATCGAACGACTATTTGTGAATTTTTGAACGCTGGAGCACCTGAGGAAAGATGCCACCTGAAAACCAACGAAAATTTCAAGACAGTTCATGAAGTAACTTTGGCTTGATTTACTGCTATGAGGGAAAAGCACGGAGGGTTCCCAATGGTGGAGAACATCGTGCGTAAGAAGACAATCCAGCTAGCACAAAGATTGCATTACAATAACTTCAAGGCTTCCAAAGGTTGGTTTCGCTCTTGTTCAGACAGATATGATATTCAGTCGTGCAAAGTAAGAAACAAGCAACTCATGTGCATTGCTTTATAGGTTTGTGGGGAAAGTTTAGCGGTACCGCGTGATGCAGTGGACGAGTTTCGAGCGAGGTTACCGCAGTTGATACATGGATTTGCTGACTGTGATATGTTCAATGTAGATGAAACACCTTTGTATTACAGGCAACTCCCAGAATGAACACTGAGTTTCAAAGGAAAGACAGTTTCTGAATCCAAGGAATCTAGAGGGTCACGTTACAGCTTTGCGGGAGCATGACTGGAGAAAAGTTATCACTGTTGTTGATTTAAAAGTTTCAAACTCCACGATGCCTCCGAGGTATGGATAGAGAAAGCCTTCTATGTAGTTATAATTCTCCAAAGAACGCGTGCATGACTTCTACGTTATTTCACAGATGGCTTTCCGATGTCAAACGCGAAATGGTTTCTCAAAGGCGCCATAACCAAGACGTAGTATTCTCCAATGTCAAATTGGTACGGTTGTCTCCGAACATTTCCTCAGTGTTATAACCAATGTATCAGGGTGTGATTTGGACTTCCAAATGTTCGTTTTGGAACCATTTACTGGAATATGTTATCGAAGATGAACAACTTATCATGAAAGCCGAGGTGGACATTCTCATGGTCATGTATCTGGTCAAGAAAGTTTCGGTGTCTGTGCACTCGCACGTATTGATTAACGCTTTCATGAAAGCTGGGTTCAAGTCTGCATGTATTCAGCCGGCGATGCAGCCACCATAGGATAAATGCGATTTGGTAGAGGACTCAATGTGTCTATTGATGAACGTCTTTTTTCTCTTTCTTTTTTTTCTTTTCTTTTACTTTCTTTTATGGAATATGCAATGGTACAATTTTCAGGAAGGGGGAAGCGGCCAATCAAAGAGCTGCCATTCAACACACAACGGGGAAAGTTATGCGGTGGTGATGGGATTCGAACACATCCCCGGGGTGATAATTTGGTGACGTTATCAACGGGCCTGTTCGGCATTTGATGAAGAAGTGGATTATTTAAAATTTTTGTATCAAGTCTCATTTTAGTCGTTGAATGAATTTGTTTCGAATGAAGCGAAGCGTCGCCAAGAAGATGAATGTGAGCCAGTGAATGAGCCCGAAGTTATCTCAATCAGAGAGGTGCAGAATTTATTGGATCAATGAAAGCTGTTTGCCTTGGATAATGCTCGGAGTTCGGGTCGATCAATAGAGGGTACAATTGATTCAAACAGCGTGTTTGTTGATTTTCAAAGGAGAGCCTTGCTGAGACAAACGATGATTTATGATTTTGCTAAAAATACATCTTTGTCATCTGCACAGTTTTTTTCGCAATTCTGTGGGGCACTGAACTGAACTGTGGGAGACTTGAATGTGGTCATTTTTGCTACAGTGTTTACGGTTATTTGGTCTACCGCTGGGCTCCATCGCACTTACATGAACGATAATCGCGATTGACTGGCAAGCTGGTGAGTGGAGTGAGATGTCAGATCCGAGCGATCGATAAACATCGTCACGAGGAACCGCCTTTGCAAATTAATGAACGATACTCTCACGTGTCTTAGAACACCGATAAAATTAGACAGGTCACTTGTCAAAGGTCATCTTAACCCGGGTCTAAGGACAGTTTGTGAGATGAACTTTTAGTTTATGAATCGTTAATTGATTGAGTTACCGTTATTCCTGTAGGCTGGCGTCTATGGCCTTCGGTTGGTTGAACAGGAGTGAATTTTTTTCGAATTAAACTGACATCTACCCATGCCGGAAAATTTGCACGAGAACCCGCTTAAAAAATAGTGCGGGTATCTTAGACGAGTCAAACGTCAGCCCAGTGTCATCATAGCTTGAACTTTTCCCTTATGAATCTCCCACATGGCGTACCGTTCCACGACTGATTATTCTGTGACTCTCTACCAACACTTGAGCAGCATCAGCAATTACCCTCCACCTATGTCAGCCCGAAAATCACACGACCGATCGGGTTCATTTATTGATCAGTCGGATAGGTCACCGCAACAAGAGACCTGGCACTTGCCCACCCGAGCGAGAAACCACACCTTGTCTACAATCACGAATCTTTGGCAGTCCCAGTGAACTTCGGCTGTACAGTAGGCGTGCCTTCACCACACAGATGGACTGCACACGACAACAAGAGCACCACAAAAGGTACAAGACAATGTGAAACGATGGGGTAATCGGATTATCGTACTATCGTACTATCAACATAGAAACATGGCATCTTACATTGATACTCGGACCTCTTAAATTGAAAAAGGTATGGTTTATGAATCACGTTATGGCCTGTCCGACGATCAACGGTCATGATGAATGCATCAATCGGTTTGAACGTACACTGGTAACGACAAAACCGAACGAACCAATAGATGTCCACAGACACCAATGGCACTCATTTTTCAGCAGAAAATCATGAATAGACTGCACACCGAACAATCACCTTGAATATGGGAAAGAAGTCAATGTTCTGAGTATGCCCCGTAACAGAAATTTCGCTCATTTTAGATGTTATTTTCTTCTCACTGTATTCGAACTGGTTTACCTTAGTTTTCCTTGAATGGGTTAACACTGATGTGATTATTACAGCTAAAACAGTTTTATATTATGGTGCATATCATATAATCCATTTTGTGACCAGCCTAACATTGCAACGGAATAGAGGAATATCTGGAATTATTATGGGATAATTGTGTCAGAAAAAGTTCCCTGGAGAAAGGTAGGCAGTTTGGGGATAACTTGACACAGATCTGAAAAAGGGCTGAATACCGCTTGCAATGTACCGATATTAAGCTGAGGGCGTCATAAAAGATTTAAATTTATTCGAATACGCAGGACGGCAGATCTGAATTCCGTTATAAATAAACAGTTAATAATTATAAACATTTGGAACAACTAATGAGATTAACCTACTTTTCATCGATCCGGTTTATTTTGTCACAAAACTGTCAACCAATTTTAGTAGTATAAAAATACCACTTATTAGCACCTACTATTGTTTACCCTGTTATTTCGCGGTTCCTGGAAGTTCCCAACTTGTTCCAATTCCCGAGGGGTGCAACATATCAGGACATTGACTGTAATTCAGGTGGAAAGGCCTCGTTCACCTAAAACGCCGTGCAAATTAGGCGAGCACGATCCTTTAACACTGAATGTCTGAGAGACATCTGGAGAAAAAGGAGCAGCCAACTAACTGCTATTCCTAGGGGTCCTGATACGGTTTCGACGGACGCGGTGGAGATTGACTGTTGGTGCTTTCGTTGTACGTGCAATACAATCGAGATGCGTGAAACTGTACATACATTACGGGTTAGATCACACAATCAAAGGCTCAGAGTTGGGTCTTTTATTCCACGCCTTGGCACTGCTGGTCATTGCTCTCCAGGATCTTACCAATGGCCTGTAATAGACATGTATCCAATCGACCTTTATCCACTCAGTCTACTTGAAATCACTTTCCCCTGGAATCATTCAGTAAGGATAGAATATCTTCGGAAATTCTGGAAGTATGCCTACAATATGTACTGGAACCGCAACATGGATTGGTTGCATCATCTGGGAGACGGAATCCTCTCCCAGGAATACCTCAAGTCCTTTAGTCAATAACTTTGATGTACTTCAAGATGCTGTCCTCTCTTGATATCTTTTCCCTGCTTTCATTAATGATCTTTCAGTTTCATAC